TGCTGAGTTCCCGGGTCTGTACACCCGCTGTGCCCATTATGAGGGGCCCCCACCACCCCTGTGGTGAGTTCCCGGGTCTGTACACCCGCTGTGCCCATTATGAGGAGCCCCCACCATCCCTGTGCTGAGTTCCCGGGTCTGTACACCCGCTGTGCCCATACTAGGTGGCCCTATGTACATTTTGCTGGGGGCCCCGTCACACACAGTCACGTCCTTGGCTATTATTTCCTCTGCTGGCACGGAGCAGATACGTGACTCATTGTTTTTCCTCTTGGCATCTGATCTCTCCGGCTCCCTTTTGTTTAATAACAAGACGCGGCGACATCATAAATCCTCCCCGGCCCGCCGCCCACGCCTGCAGATTACATAGCCACCGCCGGGCATACGTCAGAGGATCCGCTGCCTGCCTGCCAGGCCGCCCCGTAATGGGCACCGAGGTTTTACACCACGCTGGCAGGAGCTCATTTTCAGCTCTCACTGACGGGCAGGCGGAAGGCTCTATTATAAGAGTCTCTGACTGCACATGAGGAGTCTCTGCAACCGCTGAGCCCCATGAGGGGTCTGCACAGAGCTTGAAGTCAGATTTCAGACATCCCCTGCCACAAATGTTTTTATTTTATTTTTTAAGCTGCTTTCTAAAAACCCTCAAAAACAGGATGTTCCTTTTTTGTTTAATTACAACCATGCATGTGTAACTATCGGACACGGCGGCCTCCATGTACCTCTATAATCATACGGTATATATACAGAGGGAGGGTATATAGAACAGGAACACCGGTACGATAAGCTGCTCACATTCATTCTGGATCTAAAATCTTTTAGGAGACGTCTCCCGGTGAGGGGACCCCATTTATAAAGTGCCCTGCGGCCCTCCCCCGCGTCCTCAGTTACCCTCCACCAGGCCCAGTACAAGCCCGGGCCCCCTCACGCACCCAGAGCTGCCTCTGAAAAATAAACCTGTATAAATCAAATGACAGGCCGCAACTGTACACACATCTGAGCGGCCACGTGCATACAGGGACAGATGAGCGGCCCTGGACGCAAACGGTCTGCGTCCATGGCCGCTTATCCTTCCCAGCATGCATGTAGCCGATATGCAGAGCGCCGCGGCGTCCGTTAGCCCGTCACTGATTTGTACAGGTTTCCGACGCAAACACCTGGGACTCCTGAGCTCCATTTTGACGCTGTACCCTGTCCC